GCGGGAAGGGAAAGAAATGCCCGCGTGGTTAGCCACAAAGCCAACAAAAACCATAAAACAAACAAAAAAACCCAACAAAACCACACCATTTGGGCCCCCGGTTACTACTGCACATGGTGGCATTGCCCCGTGCAAGAGCTCCCTGGGCACCCCCATCCACCTGTGCCGTCCTCGAGAGCACGGCGCCAGCCACCCCACCGACCCCGGTCTTTGGGACCCGACAAAGACCCCGGTCTTTGGGACACGACCCCCGGCGGTCCCGCTTCAGCCCCGAGTCCCCGTCCCAAGTCCCCATGCTCGTCGCCGGCAACCAACCTCCTCCAACGCCCTTTGTCCCTCCTCCAAAACTTGCCCAAGTTTCTACAAGTTTCCAGCCGCACTTGTAGGGGAAATGATAGCTTTTGCCCAACACTGCCCGCACCCTGCCAGCCCCGGTGAGCCGGGCACAGGGTGACCGCCCTGTTCCCCACTTGTCTACCTTGGGGGGGACACAATAACCACCTGCCCACCCAGTAGAGACGCCACCAGCAACACTACACTCAGGACTCGGTGTTTTGCGCCTCCCCAGAGCCCGTGTGGGGCTCGCCACTGACAACGCGCTCTGCCCACGGGCCCAGACCATCTCAAGAAGAACGAGATGGGACGAGGAGGGTGGTCAAGAAGAGCCAAGCCCATCCACGCCTTCGGGGATCACGGCGGGTGAGGAGCTCATAGCTCACCATGGGAAAGGATGTGGAGGGTGCCTGACCCAGTGGCTTTCACCAAAACACCCCAAACAGTTGGCCCAGGGGAACACTGAGCTGGGAAAAGATCTCAGGAAGGCATCCAGGCTGGCGCCCTGCCGGAGCGGGGCTGCTCACAAGGTCCGATCGACCTGCGCTTTTGAAACCCCAGGACACATCCCCTCGTTTCAAAGCCCGACTGGGGCACTGACAACCATTAACCGTTTGGTCTCCCACCAGCAGCACTCTTCCAGCACACTCACAGACACCTCACAATGCTTCCCACTTAGCCCCCAAATCCTGGCACGGCCAGGAAGCCGTGCACAAGGGCAGATCTGGAGAGACGATTGTCTCTGCGCTACCTCCGTAGCCCTCCCAACATCTACAAGTCATCCCGAGGGCTGACCACACAACGCATCGCAAATGAAGCCGCCTGGCTATGAAGCCCCAAAATCAAGATGACACCAAGCCAGCTGGCCGGCTGATAAGATTGCATGGCAGAGCGCCAGTTGCCCTGGCCACCGGGAAGAGGACCGCACACCTCTCGACCCCTACCGCATCCCAGAAAAAAGGCGCTAGAAGCATCCCAGAGGAGGAAGGCCCAGCCACAAGACCCATTTACACGGCAACACAGAGAAAGCGGACCACAGAGACATT